GAGTGATAAATTTCAACCATCATATTATAATAGATAGCTTATATTAAAAGACTTGCTTAATATGAAAAACACAACTGCTCTCGTCACAACTTGTGTTACCATTTGGTTGATAACAATGGTAGTGGTGGTAACATCAATGATGGTGTAGTGACGATGGTGGTAGTGATAGATAAAGATTATGATGATAGTTTCTATTTTTGATTTTAAGTAAGTATTTTAACTTAAGGAACCTTTCAAATGATTTTTTAAAATAAAAAATGAGAACTTTTAAATATAGTACTTAGATTACTATTAAAAAAATATAGTTAAGACTTTTCAAAGTCAATTTAAACTTCTTTTATGAGATCATTATATTCACTGCTTCCACCATTGTTGTCCACTTCCATTATCATTTTTGGTGTCACCATCGTATTGTCACCACCACCACCACCACCACTACCATCACCACCACCACCACCACCACTACCATCACCACCACCACCACCATCATCATCATCATTATCATTGTCGTTGTCGATGATAGTAGTGACAAAAATGATGATAATGGTAGTAGTGATAGTAGTGATAATGGTAGTGGTGATAGTTATCCGTGAATCACAATAACATTTTGAAAACTGAATTTAAATTTTTCCTTTGTAATTATCATTAGATATAAAACTGGTTTACCTATATCTTTAATCTTTAGTTACTCACATGCTATTATAATAGTATCCTAGAATCATAGGTTAATCACTTGCATATATTTTTGTTAGAGTTATCCCTTATGGCCAATCCTTTATTCGATCATATATTTAAATGAAGCATTTAGTTATTATGTTAATTGATGTTTATATTTGATTAAGCATAATAATGTCATTAGAATAATTTGTTTGTTCTAAGATATATCAAATGTGAATGATTGTGAGATTTTTTAAACAAGAAAACATTATTCTTAAATCATTTGTAGTTAAATATTATTATTAACTGGGATATGCTAGTCCTTCTTTTTTTTTTTAATGCAAAACATGTTTTTTCTGACGCAAAACATGTTTTTTGTTCCTTAGTGAAGCGTGAGTATCGAAAAAGATCTTTATTTCTTTCGATTCATTAAGAAATCATATAGACAAAAATGATTTGGTTATCAAATATTTTAAATGATATAAATGTAAAGCATATGTCTTATAGATGAATTGTTTTGTTTATGAGACTTAAAAATATATATTTGTTATCATTGAAACTTAAAGTCTGAAACATTTAAGATTGTCTTTTGAACTTATAAAAATTGACCATGCAACTTAGTGACGTGAGCATGAGAAGGAATTTGGTTTTAGATGTGAGAACTAATTTTGGGATTCAGGTTTTGTCATATTGAAAGGGACTAAGACATAAAAGGATTTGAGTTTTCTAGTGAGACTTGTGTGAAGAGATTTGGGATTTAGGTTTGAATGAGAGGGATTTGTGAATATAAAAGGGATAGTGAGAGAGTGAGCAATGGTGATTCGAGAGAGATAATGAGATCAAGAAAGAGAGAGAAATGGTGAGTGGTGTAGAACGATGACAAGGAGGTGAAAGGAAAAGCGACAGAGAGTACAAGGGTGAGTGGCAAAGCGATGAAAAATGGTGAGAGTGAGAGGAAGAAGGAGATCAAGGATATAAAGGAACAAAAGTGTTAGACTTAGATGGGTCGAAGAAAGAAATGGGCGAATTTTTCGTAGTAAACTTACATTAACTAAATATGTTAAATAACATCATTCATAAGTGTTGGGCAAGCCAACACAACTTACTGTTGGCCAAGCAAACACATATAATTACAAAATTAGATATTAAATTATGAAAACAACAAGCGCGCATCAGTTTAGTTGACACAAATCATTTAGAAAAAAAATACATTTTAAAGTATATTACAAGTTAGTGTCAACTAAGTTGACACAATTTATCATAATAATATTAAAAATAGATAAAAACATGGAGCCATCCAATGTACACCAAGCCATGCAACACCCTCGCTAGATTCAAGCTATATTTGTCAAGTTTGATGCCCTAATTTGAAACAACACATGGTCCCTCATGTGTTCACAAAAAGGTCATATTGTCGAGTGCAAATGGATTTTTCGTATTTAAAGAAACCTTGATGGTTCGATAGCTCACTATACAAGGTACTCCTAGTGGCCAAGAGCTTTACTCAATGACTTGGAATTGATTTCAAGGAAACATTTGGACCAATTGTTCACTCACAAACCTTTAAAATAGTTTTTATCATTGTTCTATGATAATTTTTAAATATATCAATATCTTTTACTCAATTTAGGCGATTATTGTGCATGTATTAAGCTTTAAAGTCATGTTTTGCCAAAAATAAATATTAAAAATTAAGTTTTCTTATTCTTTAAGTTTTATGTTTTCTTTTAATATTTTTGTCAGTATCTTAGATATGGGAAAAGAAAGGAAGAAGAGGAGGGTAGTTAAAGACTTAGAACATGGAAATTGAACCTAACAATTTTTGCTTAAGCGAGTGGACACTAGGAGCATCATGAAGTACTCACTCTAAGTGAGTGGACACTACAAACCCAATTGGATAAAATCCATTTAAAATCTTAAAATAGGATTTGGAGAGAATAGAGAGACACTATATATATTGTATATATCTTAGATATGCTTGAGAGAATAAAATGAGTTGTTATTGGGGATTGATGTATGTAACTGACTATTTACTCCATGTAATTCTTCCTATTCTTATACAATAAATATTTTTATTTAGTTAATTATTTTTCCTTTTTTTTAATTAATGTTTATTTTGAATTGATCATTGTTACTCGAAAAATGGGATTACGATGATGCTCGAACAACAATTCGAGATTGTATCAATGTAAAAGAATTTGTGGATAAGCAAATAGGTCTGGACAATCCTAAAGGATAGACGAAAGGGAGAGAATGCGAGTTCAAGACAAACGAAGGGATCTTGAAAGTGGCTTACAAAATTGAAAAGCAGTTATCATGAGTGGGTTACAGCGGTTCTAGGAAGTTAATATCAAATAATTGTTTCGATATCCACTTGAAAGAACAATACGAGATTAGAACATGCAAGGCGGTTATTGGAAGTTGAGAACGGTTGAGGGAGGTTACACCAGCCACGTAGTAGAGGCAGTTAAGACACACCACGTCGAGCCTAAATGTAATTAACTACCCATAATAAACCTCTATAAATATAGGAGATGCGACTTCACTTGCAGGGGTTTAGAAAATCATACTTAAACTTTCACAAGCACTCACTATTTGCGCATATGGCTTCCGTGTACGAGATTGCTGGGTATGACTTCTTGGCCACATTTTTTCTTTTCTTTTCTTAGGACTATCAATTAGTTGAGTATAACATAGCTTCGTAGTTCATTTACTTCTCAAGATCATTACACATTGTAACTCAACAGTTATGTAAGTAGACAATGATTTTTATCGTCAATATATATGTCATTCACTCAATCTATATATCTGAATGTTTGCATGCATGAAACTTACTTCTTAGTGACCATTGATGAATATCTTGAGTTTGAAACATGTTAAATTCAAATTCGGGGTAATATAATCATCTCCACCTATATTCTTGCAAAAGCTTAATTGCATATACCTAAATTGAAAAGTTTTGCTAGTTCAAATAAAAAGAGTCCACACACAAAATTTCCCACAAAATCATCCATCACACACTCTTATAGATTTAATTAAGATCGGAAAACTCTTTTGAAACTATAATCTAGAGAATAAAACTTATTACTAAGAATAAGATAAGTCTTATTAGTCAACATTTTAGACCTTCGATTTTAATAGAAGTTATTTAATAAACTTCACCAAGGAATTAAAATTTTTCTAAAAGAACCTAAAATTTCTCACCTAAGAAATTAGGGTTAAAATATTTCCATTAGTTGTTGATTTAATTTGATAATTACTGAAAAATGGAATAACAATTGGGAATGATATATGTGACAAAGGTTAGTGAAATCAATCCCTAACATATTTTATTATTGATTTTCAATTATCATTTCCATCTTTTTATTATTCTAAATCTCTAAAATTATGTTCTTTGTCTTTTATTGTGTTCTTCAAATAAATCTATCTTTTTCTTTTCCCTAATTAGAATCAAATTAGATTAATTAGTTGTTACACAAGTCTTTGTGAATTTGATACTTAGACTTCTGTCCATTTACTATTTATGACAATTGGTATGCCTGTCAAAAGTTTAACACTCTTGAATACAATTAGCACATGTACCAACTCGATGTCAACAATGCATTCCTATAGAACACCCTACATGAGGCGATATTCATCGCTTAAGCTCTGGGTCTCAAAGATCCTTAACATTATCCTAAATATGTTTGCAACCTTCACAAAGTTTATGGCCTCTAATAAGCATCGAGAGCCTGACATGATGCCCTCAAATCCTTCATCCCAACATTTGGGTTTATTATGAGTTAAAGTGATCCATCCCTGTTCATGTATGCCTCTATCAATTTCATTGCATACTTCTCTATGTATATTAATGATCTTCTTATCAATGGTAATGACACATGATTCTTGGACAAATATTGCCTCCCTAATTGCTCAGTTTTTTCTGAAGAACATGCGCACACCACATTACTTTTGGGCATCAAAATTATACCCACCAGTTCTGACACACGCCTCTCACAACACAAATTCACAAGGGACATTCTTAAGCGATTGACATGGTAGATTCGAAACCATCTCCCACACCTCTCTCTCTAACATCCACGACCCTTATGTTACATGATGGAATACAATCACACATGCCACCAAATACCACCAATTTATTGGAGCCATCCAATATCTAAACCCTACCTGACTTGACCTCTCCTTTTCCATCAATAATCTCGCCTAATTCATGCATAAATCAAACACCTTTCATTTGCAGCACCTTGAAAAGCTACTCAGATATCTCAAATCCTATGCATTAACCATAGCACCATGATAAAGGAAACCCACATCCTTCAATATGGTTGCCTAAAACACAAAAGAAGCTATTAATCTTCTTCATGAGATGCATATATTGGGACTGAAGCCATCTGAGATTACATTTGCAAGCCTCATAGATGTTTGTAGGGGATCTCCCATGGTAATTTTGGGCATGCAGATCCATTGTGCTATAGTGAAGAGGGGTCTTTTATGTGGTAGCGAATTCTTAGGGACCTCTTTGTTGGGCATGTATATGGATTCACAAAGGCTTGCAGATGCAAACCTTCTTTTCTCAGAGTTTTCTAACCTTAAAAGCACTGTAATGTGGACCGCTTTAATTTCAGGACATACTCAAAATGAGTGCAGTGATGTGGCCTTAAACTTATATCGAGAAATGCTTGACAACAATATCTTACCTGACCAAGCAACGTTTGTTACTGTTCTTCGTGCTTGTGCTCTCTTATCCTCGTTGCATGATGGTAGAGAGATACATTCTCTAATTTTTCATACTGGTTTTGACACAGATGAGTTAACCAACAGTGCCCTTATAGACATGTATGCAAAATGCGGGGATGTAAAAAGTGCTGCTCAAGCTTTTGAAGAATTGGCTATTAAAAAGGATGTGATTTCTTGGAATTCAATGATAGTTGGATTTGCCAAAAATGGTTATGCAGAAAGTGTCCTGAGGGTCTTTGATAAGATGACTCAATCGTGCATCAACCCTGATGATGTGACATTCCTTGGAGTGCTTACCGCTTGTAGCCATGCAGGGTGGGTTTACGAGGGTCGTCAAATTTTTGACATCATGGTAAACTATTATGGCATTGAGCCCAAAGTAGATCATTATGCTTGCATGGTTGATCTTCTTGGTAGGTGGGGTTTTCTCAAAGAAGCTGAAGAGTTCATTGACAAACTAGAAGTTGAACCCAATGCTATGATTTGGGCCAATTTATTGGGTGCTTGCAGAATACACGGGGATGAAAAAAGGGGACAAAGGGCTGCTAGGGAACTTATTAAGTTAGAACCCCAAAATTCGTCTCCTTATGTATTGCTTTCTAATATGTATGCTGCATCAGGACATTGGGATGAAGCAAGATCTTTGAGGAGAACAATGATAAAAAAAGACATCCAAAAGATGCCGGGGTGTAGCTGGATTGTAGTGGAGCGAAAGACAAACCTATTTGTTGCGGGTGATATATCGCATCCTAGTTATGATGAAATTTCACAAGCTTTAAAACATCTGACAGCACTAACTAAAGACAACAGATTCCAGGACGATGGAATTTCCCGGGTTGGCCAAATTTAGTTAATCAATATGATCGGAAGTCATGTGATCAACTTAGATTTGTTTCCCGACATAAAAGAACCTTGCACATATATCTTATGAGGGATGGGGGAAATGAAAAGTGGCGGGGAAGATGGATATAAGTATAACTCTTCCTTTGTTTTATTTTTAAAATGTATCTTATGATTTTTAACCATATTTTTTTCTCCAGAGAATACAGTTGGGTTTGTGCTAAATATATGAATTTGATAAATTTTAATAATATACTTCCTACCAATCTAGAATATTAGTTAAATTTATCAAAGATCACAAAATTTTTGTGGGTCTCCACTTCTTATTTAATGAGTTTTAATTAATAATATATAATTTCTAATAAATTTTAACTAGGGGGTGTCAATTATACACTTTTTACTATCCGTTAAAATTGATTGAAACTACAAAATTATGAGTGAAGTTCATTGCCTCTCAAGTTTTTAAGAATAAATGAACATGATTATATATGCAATTATCTTTATATGGTTAATAATGTCATGCAAAAGTTTTAATGTCTAATAGTGATTAACTTCAACTCGTAAGTGGTAAATATTTTAATGTCTAATAGAGATCAAAATTAGAATATTGCACCATGATAGTATAGAATTCTAGGAGAAGAAACTACTCAAAGAATTGTAAGAACTAGGGACTCCAATGATAGAATGGAACTCGAAAGTTGCATTGAATTAAGAAAGAATTGAGAAATATTTACAGATGAATCTGAATACCTCAACTCAGAATTACACTTTCCTACTTACAGCTATCAACTAATAATTGCCTCTAACAACTTCTAATAACATAAATTTAACCATACAGATCAACAATAACAAAAATAACAGAATTTTCAACTATACAAAGTCCTATATCAGTACCCCTACCTTAACAAAATCCTTGTCCTCAAGGGTTAAAATCTGGATACTTTTTCTTGAGATCATAGAAGAACTCCCAAGTAGCTTCTTCAGGTAATTGATGCTTCCATTTAACTAAGACCTTGGTAACAGCTTTGTTGCCTCTCTTCACATTCATTCTGTCAAGAATTGACTCTAGTTCCCTCAGAAGGAGGGATTTCTCAGCACATGGACCAATTCCTTTGTTGGACCTTGGGATCCATCCCAGGGTTTGCATAATCCTGGTAGATTGTTGACTTAGTGATTTGTGGTCATTTGTGATTTTTTGTCCTTTAATAGGAAGGAAAGGTTGGAAGTGATACCCTTTTTTTTAGTTACCTAACACTTTGTCTGGAGTGGGAGGGGGAAATAAGAAGAGAGGAATAAAATGAAAAGAAATGAAGAGAAAAAAATTAATTTCCTCTTTAAATTTTTTTATATAATTTGTGTATCTATACGTCTGGTACTCTATGCTAGTGAATGTTAGTCTTAAGGGACAACAAGAGAAAAATGTGAGAGTAGCATAAATAAGAATGTTAAGATGGATGAGTAGCTACACAAGAAAGGACAAGATGCGAAATGATTGTATATGAAGAGTTATTGATGTTGTACCGATTGAGGAAAAGATGACAAAAAATTGATTAAAGTGGTTTGCATATGTACAAAAAGATCATTGGAATCACTAGTGAGGAGACTAAATCACATGGTTTTTAGTCATGTGTAAAGGAGAGAGAGACCAACAAATATGTTAGAGGATGTTATTAAGAAAGATCTCATGGTAAATAATATGTCTGGAGATTTGGTCTTTAATCGAGCTAAATGATGTTTATGATCCATATAGTTGACCTCACCTATTGGGCAAGGCTTTGTTGTTGTTTTGAATTTTGATATAAAGAAAACATGAGAAGAAAGAATAAAACCATATTAAATACTTAACGGACATTTGAATCCTTACAATGTAACAAAATATAAATATAAATGAAATAAGGATATATCTGTCATTTTGATACATTTCTTTTGTCTCAATGTGTTTTCTTTCCTATCATGAGGTGAAAATATTTAACATGGGATTGACCCTTGTTTTTTCTTTGTTTCATGTTTTCTAGCTATTCCAGAAAGAAAAAAATGCATTATAAACTAATAAACTGTTTTCTCTCTCATTATGTTTTCGTCAATTGTTCAATCGTTTCAAATTATTACTAAATTTATGTCTTCTATATTAAACATGCAGACAAAAAGATAAAGTTGTGGCTTTTTCTTTTGGGGCGTCATTCATCAGTTGTTGAGACTGCTCAGCCAGCAGCATCTGGATTAAGAGGTATCATATATATAACTAAACTTTTGTAATGGTTATATACATTCCCTTCTTCAAAGATTATGGGATTGGAGTTCTCCCACTTTTGTGTTTCCTGATAATATCTTTATTTGTGATTTTTTTTCCCTTGAAGTTGTTGCTTCTGGGCTTTGGTTGGCTCCTGGGGATTCAGAAGAGGTTGCAGCTGCTCTATCTCAGGCTTTGAGGAATCGTATAGAAAGGTTTTTTTCCCCTTCAACACTTGAGAGTGAAATTAATATTTTGTTGTATCTTGCCATTTTATCTTATTGACTTTGGCAGAGCTTTGCATGGGCTTTATTACATGAGATTTGGAGATGTATTTTTGAAGTTTCATCAATTTCAAAGAGAAGAACTGTTCAGGTATGTTTTTGCTACATCTTGATTTTTTAGAGTATATAATAGTAATTATTGAGCACGTAAATCAATTGGTGTAAGGTTGTGCAAGCTTAATCAATAGTATTGAGTTCAAGTCTTGAGTATACAACTATGTTAAATACTTAGAAGGAGAACTTTGCCACTGATAGAAACTTGTTATCTTATTAGAAAGAATAAGGAGTTTCTCCCTGAATACAGTATAACTGAGAGCATCTCCTCTCAATGCTATCCAAACCCAAGATACTTCTCCTCACGCACTGTAAGGCCCTCAAAATACTTGTCTAAATTGATAGCCACCAATAGGCATTGCCCATCCCATCAAATTTTGGAATTGTCTTCAATAATTGATACTCACGACTCCAAGATTGGAGCTTTGATACCAATTGATAGAAACTTGGTATCTTATTAGAAAGTATAAGGAATTTCTCCCTCAATACAATATTTAGCTTGTTGAACTTTGAGGCATTGCACCTTCCAATGCCCAACGGCCCCAATTCTCTCACAAATGACAAGATGAAATCCCTCTCAACCCTCTTCCTATTTACATACAGCTAATGGTCTCCTAACATAAACCCACACGCAGTGGGCTTAATCAGTTGCAGGCCCATTCCACTTCTTTCTGACATAACTCCTAACTGACCCTATCACCACCCATAATTTTCTTACCTAGCTTGAGCATAATTGCCTTCAAGAGGGAACGTGAAAATGGTTGAAGTTGATGAAGAATTATAATTGGGGATAATTATGAGGAAACCAAAGAAGAATCATTCAATTTTGAGGACTCTGAAGAAGAGGAAGAGTGAATGAGTGATGTGTTTCACTAGATGTAGATGGCAAACAAAATGATTTTGTTGGGGGTTGAGGAAGAGCTAGAGGATTATACATTTAAGACATTAACATTATGTTTGTATTGTTTTTGATCATTTGTCATTGTTTTGAAGTCTTAAACTCGATGGTGTTTAGTTATCATTTGATTGTTATTTGAAGTCTAAAACTTGTTAGTTATTTTGTGGTTTTCTTCTTATATATATTTATTTCTGCATTGCAATTTTATTTCTCGCTCTATATATTATTTTTATTCTGCCCACCACAAGCTACAATGTCATCATGGATTTTTGTCTGGCTACCAGAATCATTCATCATTAACACTGAGTATGGGTCATTATAACTATTTATCATGCTAGCACACATAATTAATTCAACATATTCCGTGGAACAATTTTCTGAACTGCCAACTGTACAGTAACATGCTTCTTTCCCTTTAGACCTCAAATTTCCTGTAGATTTAGTCATATTTGCAATTTTGCATTGACCTTGAAATTTCTAAATCCAAAGTCCCACCAAAGCTAGTTGACTGGACAATGCAATTTGTGTGGTCTTGCCTGTTTACTGCTTTCTGATTGTGACCATGCTATCTTCTGCTTTTAGTATTTCATAATTTGAATTTTCTATTACATATACTTGATATTTCCAGAAGAGGACAGCCTGCAGTTGAGTTTGTCTTTGCTGCGACCGAGGAGGCAATCTTCATACATGTCATAGTGTCCTCAAAGTATGATGGTGCTAGGTTTTTTAGTTAATCAATAGTTATCTTGCATTGGAACATTTACCTATCATCTTTACCCCTTTTTATCAGGCATATCCGGATGCTTTCCACGGGTGATTTGGAAAAAGTATTAAGACATTCTACAGAGTCAGCCTATGGACTTCCAGGTTGTTCAAATTTATTTCTCAGTTTCTCAGATTTACTATTCATAGATGTGCTATCTATCCCATCTTTGCTGGTGCTAAAATATTTTGGTTATGCTGGCTTTTGTTTGGTGTGTAATGATGGAGAGCAATGCTAGGATTTCCAAGGATTGGTTGATGAGGATTGCTGTCCTTTGGGATAACATTTTGTATTTGCAAACTTTTGCTAATGTGTACAAGGCCATTTTTGGTCTATTATATAAGTTAGGAGGGTTTGAGGAGTTTTGTTGTACTGAAAACTGGGTTTTGCATCTTAAATATTTAAAATTAATTATTCTTATAAATTTAAAACTTGAATTCGATATTCTAAAATTTAAAGATCACGTATAATACTAATTAACTCAATAAATATTAATAATTTTTAAATATTTTTATTAAATAAAATATAAAGAAATAGAATGTTTCACTAATAATATATAAAAAAGATATACATGTTTGTTTTTTTAAAACATCTATTCTCATATTATATATTAAAAAAATAACTATTTATCTTTTTCACTAGTATATTTAATATACATTTAACTTATTATAATTTATTGTTAAAATATTTTATTCACCACGATCGAAAACACTCTGGATCAGTGTTGCAATCTGGATCCGATTCGGAATTTTTGAATAAAATGGGGTGCATATTTGGTTTGTTTGTGCAGGAGCAGAAACAAGTAAACGTCTCATAAACCCTCGTCCTCTTCCTAATTCTAGGTCGGAGTGCCAGTCTGACACAACACAAATCACAAACAGATTGAGGCATCATCGCATAAAAATATGGGAATAAAAATAAAATGACCAGTTATTAAAATGAGACATCTCAAGTCAAATCTCCTTTCTCCAAGAGTAACATCATTATTACATATGGGAATAAAATGAGCCGTGTTAATTGATCAAAGAGGAAAATTTGTTGAGAAAGAGGAATGCAAAAAAGTGAAACATGTGGAGCTAAGAATCAGAAGGCACAGAAGGTTTGATGCACGTGGCAATTGGAGTGAAATGTTTGCAGTTGAAGAGTAGAGAGAAATGAAGGTGAAGCACTACTCCGTGCAGCGTTTGAACTCCCTCCTTTGCAAGTACTCGAGCCAAGGATTGCCGGAAAGTGTCCTGTACTGCTATGCTTCTTTTATCAACTCAGGCCATTCGCCCGACCAATTCACTTACGCTATCACTCTGTCTGCCTCTGCAAAAGTGCAGAATGTTGAGTTGGGTAGGGCAGTTCACTGCTGTGTTATTAAGAGGGGCCTTCAATCCACCTCCTTCTGTCAGGGCGCTCTTATCCATCTCTACGCCAAATGCAACTCTCTCACCTCTGCTCGCACCATATTTGATGCTGCACCCTGCCCCCACCTCCACACTGTCTCTTGGACCGCTTTACTCTCTGGTTATGTTCAAGCCGGCATGCCCGAGGAGGCACTCCACATATTTGACCGAATGCGCAACTTCGACGCTTATCCAATCCCAGACCCAGTGGCGCTTGTCACCGTCTTAAACACTTACATTTCCTTAGGAAAGCTTCATGATGCATGCCAATTGTTTGAACAAATGCCGCTCCCCAACCGCAATGTTGTCGCATGGAATGTCATGATATCTGGTTATGCCAAGAGAGGCCATTATAAGGAGGCTCTTGCCTTTTTTCATCAAATGAGTAAGCATGGGGTTAAATCCTCAAGATCCACGCTCGCTAGTGTTTTAAGCGCCATTGCCAGCTTAGCCTCCCTAGATCATGGCTTGCTACTTCATGCACGTGCTATCAAGCAAGGTTTTGAGTCCAGCTTATATGTTGCAAGTTCCTTGATCAATATGTATGGCAAGTGTGAAATGCTGCATGCTGCCCGCCAAGTCTTTGATGCTATATCTCGGAAAAATATGATTGTATGGAACGCCATGCTTGGAGTTTATTCTCAGAATGGCTATTTAAGTAAAGTCATGGAGTTGTTCTTGGATATGACTACATGTGGCATTCATCCGGATGAATTTACCTACACTAGCATTTTGAGCTCATGTGCGTGCTTTGAATACCTAGAAATAGGTCGCCAGTTGCATTCAACTATTATCAAGAAAAGATATACCTCCAATTTATGTGTCAACAATGCATTGATAGATATGTATGCTAAGGCCGGGTCTTTGAAGGAAGCCACCAAACAGTTTGAGCACATGACACACCGAGATCATATTTCCTGGAATGCCATTATTGTTGGATACGTGCAAGAAGAAGAGGAGGCTGGTGCTTTTGCTTTGTTTTGGAGAATGAATTCACATGGTGTTGTACCTGACGAGGTATCTATCGCCAGTATACTTAGTGCTTGTGGAAATACTAAGGTGCTACAAACAGGACAGCAGTTTCATTGCTTGTCAGTTAAGTTGGGTCTAGAAACAAACCTTTTTTCTGGAACTTCTCTTATTGACATGTATTCCAAATGTGGGGCCATTGAAGATGCACGTAAAATTTATTCTAGCATGCCTGAGCGAAGTGTGGTCTCCATGAATGCTCTGATTGCAGGATATGCTCTAAAAAACACAAAAGAAGCTATTAATCTTCTTCATGAGATGCATATATTGGGACTGAAGCCATCTGAGATTACATTTGCAAGCCTCATAGATGTTTGTAGGGGATCTCCCATGGTAATTTTGGGCATGCAGATCCATTGTGCTATAGTGAAGAGGGGTCTTTTATGTGGTAGCGAATTCTTAGGGACCTCTTTGTTGGGCATGTATATGGATTCACAAAGGCTTGCAGATGCAAACCTTCTTTTCTCAGAGTTTTCTAACCTTAAAAGCACTGTAATGTGGACCGCTTTAATTTCAGGACATACTCAAAATGAGTGCAGTGATGTGGCCTTAAACTTATATCGAGAAATGCTTGACAACAATATCTTACCTGACCAAGCAACGTTTGTTACTGTTCTTCGTGCTTGTGCTCTCTTATCCTCGTTGCATGATGGTAGAGAGATACATTCTCTAATTTTTCATACTGGTTTTGACACAGATGAGTTAACCAACAGTGCCCTTATAGACATGTATGCAAAATGCGGGGATGTAAAAAGTGCTGCTCAAGCTTTTGAAGAATTGGCTATTAAAAAGGATGTGATTTCTTGGAATTCAATGATAGTTGGATTTGCCAAAAATGGTTATGCAGAAAGTGTCCTGAGGGTCTTTGATAAGATGACTCAATCGTGCATCAACCCTGATGATGTGACATTCCTTGGAGTGCTTACCGCTTGTAGCCATGCAGGGTGGGTTTACGAGGGTCGTCAAATTTTTGACATCATGGTAAACTATTATGGCATTGAGCCCAAAGTAGATCATTATGCTTGCATGGTTGATCTTCTTGGTAGGTGGGGTTTTCTCAAAGAAGCTGAAGAGTTCATTGACAAACTAGAAGTTGAACCCAATGCTATGATTTGGGCCAATTTATTGGGTGCTTGCAGAATACACGGGGATGAAAAAAGGGGACAAAGGGCTGCTAGGGAACTTATTAAGTTAGAACCCCAAAATTCGTCTCCTTATGTATTGCTTTCTAATATGTATGCTGCATCAATGTCCCATGCTTCTTTTGAAGATTTAGCATTAGCTATCTTTTCAAAGCCCGACTCGTCAACAACTCGGTACAGCAAATACAGTGCTGCCTTGTCCTTTGCCCGAGCAACCTTCAATGCATTCAGTTGGGCATTTGTATACCCCTCAGTGGTCACCGGTTCCTCGTACCCATTCTCAACCACATCCCAGTTGTCTTGGGAGCCGAGAAGGGCCTTCATCTGCAGCTTCCAGTTGTCGTAATTGACATCTTTAGTCAATTTGGGTAATGGAATGCCATTAGTTAAACCTGCCATCTCTCTTGAGTGTATACGCTCCACTCACACACCTCACAAGAATTTTTTTCTCTTCTCTCGGGCTGGGTACACCAGGTCGGCTCAGGTCGGCTCAGGTCGGATCAGGTCGGCTTACTCTCACCTCACGCACACAAGCTCTGATACCAATTTGTTAATGAAAAAGGGCATAAATTTGGGAGCAAAACAAACTCTCTATATTCTCATTCTTATGTTGCAAATGAAATTACACTTATTTGTAGCTGACAAAAAAAACAACGTTTTACATATTTTAAATGTCTCTCATAATTCACACCATTAATATTATTAAAACAAAATAAAACTCCTAATTTAAGTTTCATAACAGCCTATACCGATGCAAATCGGGGAAGTAATGCAAATGGCAAAACCTCCACTTCAACCTACATCATTTTCCCTTCATTATAACAAAATAGACTTTTAGTGACATTGAATATGAATTTTAGAAATAATAAAAATTGTTGTAAAATCTTTTATCAACATTTTCACATTAGCCATTATATGCAATGTCATGCTGGTAAAGACCCTTATCATGGTCGGAAAAAATGTATAAGTTTTGTAATATTTTTTTTATTAATATTTAATATTTTTTGTTATTGTCACTAAAAGTTTAAGAAATGATTCATAATAATTTTTAATTATCTTATTTTTAGTTGATGTGAGACTTGTAGGATGATGGTTGTCCTCTACTTATATATTATTTATTTATTTATTTTACATTTTTAATTATCTTCTTTTCTAATTAATTATTTTATCTATATATAATCGATGTGAGACTTAGATTTTTTTTTTCTATTTTTTTAATTATCTTATCTCCTAAGATATTTGAGATTTGTAAAGTGAGAGTTACTCTCTATTTACATAATCTAATTATTTTATCTATAGTCGATATGAAATTTAATTTTTTTTCAAAAAATAATTATCGTTAATAATAATTTTTGGTGTAATATAAATATATTTTTAATGCCTCTCTTCACATTCATTCTGTCAAGAATTGACTCTAGTTCCCTCAGAAGGAGGGATTTCTCAGCACATGGACCAATTCCTTTGTTGGACCTTGGGATCCATCCCAGGGTTTGCATAATCCTGGTAGATTGTTGACTTAGTGATTTGTGGTCATTTGTGATTTTTTGTCCTTTAATAGGAAGGAAAGGTTGGAAGTGATACCCTTTTTTTTAGTTACCTAACACTTTGTCTGGAGTGGGAGGGGGAAATAAGAAGAGAGGAATAAAATGAAAAGAAATGAAGAGAAAAAAATTAATTTCCTCTTTAAATTTTTTTATATAATTTGTGTATCTATACGTCTGGTACTCTATGCTAGTGAATGTTAGTCTTAAGGGACAACAAGAGAAAAATGTGAGAGTAGCATAAATAAGAATGTTAAGATGGATGAGTAGCTACACAAGAAAGGACAAGATGCGAAATGATTGTATATGAAGAGTTATTGATGTTGTACCGATTGAGGAAAAGATGACAAAAAATTGATTAAAGTGGTTTGCATATGTACAAAAAGATCATTGGAATCACTAGTGAGGAGACTAAATCACATGGTTTTTAGTCATGTGTAAAGGAGAGAGAGACCAACAAATATGTTAGAGGATGTTATTAAGAAAGATCTCATGGTAAATAATATGTCTGGAGATTTGGTCTTTAATCGAGCTAAATGATGTTTATGATCCATATAGTTGACCTCACCTATTGGGCAAGGCTTTGTTGTTGTTTTGAATTTTGATATAAAGAAAACATGAGAAGAAAGAATAAAACCATATTAAATACTTAACGGACATTTGAATCCTTACAATGTAACAAAATATAAATATAAATGAAATAAGGATATATCTGTCATTTTGATACATTTCTTTTGTCTCAATGTGTTTTCTTTCCTATCATGAGGTGAAAATATTTAACATGGGATTGACCCTTGTTTTTTCTTTGTTTCATGTTTTCTAGCTATTCCAGAAAGAAAAAAATGCATTATAAACTAATAAACTGTTTTCTCTCTCATTATGTTTTCGTCAATTGTTCAATCGTTTCAAATTATTACTAAATTTATGTCTTCTATATTAAACATGCAGACAAAAAGATAAAGTTGTGGCTTTTTCTTTTGGGGCGTCATTCATCAGTTGTTGAGACTGCTCAGCCAGCAGCATCTGGATTAAGAGGTATCATATATATAACTAAACTTTTGTAATGGTTATATACATTCCCTTCTTCAAAGATTATGGGATTGGAGTTCTCCCACTTTTGTGTTTCCTGATAATATCTTTATTTGTGATTTTTTTTCCCTTGAAGTTGTTGCTTCTGGGCTTTGGTTGGCTCCTGGGGATTCAGAAGAGGTTGCAGCTGCTCTATCTCAGGCTTTGAGGAATCGTATAGAAAGGTTTTTTTCCCCTTCAACACTTGAGAGTGAAATTAATATTTTGTTGTATCTTGCCATTTTATCTTATTGACTTTGGCAGAGCTTTGCATGGGCTTTATTACATGAGATTTGGAGATGTATTTTCAAAGTTTCATCAATTTCAAAGAGAAGAACTATTCAGGTATGTTTTTGCTACATTTAGATTTGTTAGAGTATATAATAGTAACTACTTAGCACGTAAATCAATTGGTGTAAGGTTGTGCAAGCTTAATCAATAGTATTGAGTTCGAGTCTTGAGTATACAATTATGTTAAATACTTAGAAGGAGAACTTTGCCATTGATAGAAACTTGGTATCTTATTAGAAAGAATAAGGAGTTTCTCCTTGAATACAATATAACTGAGAGCATCTCCTCTCAATGCCATCGAAACCCAAGATACTTCTCCTCATGCACTGTAGGGCCCTCAAAATACTTATCTAAATTGATCAGCCACCAATAGGTATTGCCCATCCCATCAAATTTTGGAATCGTCTTCAATAATTGATACTCACAACTCCAAGATTGGAGCTTTGATACCAATTGATAGAAACTTGGTATCTTATTAGAAAGAATAAGGAATTTCTCCCTCAATACAATATTTAGCTTGTTGAACTTCAAGGCATTGCACCTTCCAATGCCCAAAGGCCCCAATTCTCTCACAAATGACAAGATGAAATCCCTCTCAAGTCTCAACCCTCTTCCTATTTACATACAGCTAATGGTCTCCTAACATAAACCCACACGCAGTGGGCTTAATCAGTTGCAGGCCCATTCCCCTTCTTTCTGACATAACTCTTAACTGACCCTATCACCACCCATAATGTTCTTACCTGGCGTGAGCATAATTGCCTTCAAGAGGGAAAGTGATAATGGTTGAATTTGATGAAGAATTGTAATTGGGGATAATTTTGAGGAACCAAAGAAGAATCACTCAATTTTGAGGACTCTGAAGAAGAGGAAGAGTGAATGAGTGATGTGTCTCACTAAATGGCAAACAAAATGGTTTGTTGGGGGTTGAGGAAGAGCTAGAGGATTATACATTTAAGACATTAACATTATGTTTGTATTGTTTTTGATCATTTGTCATTGTTTTGAAGTCTTAAACTTGATGGTGTTTAGCTATCATTTGATTGTTATTTGAAGTCTAAAACTTGTTAGTTATTTTGTGGTTTTTTCTTATATATATTTATTTCTGCATTGCAATTTTATTTCTCACTATATATTATTTTTATTCTGCCCACCACAAGCTACAATGCCATCATGGGTTTTTGTCTGGCTACCAGAATCATCCATCATTAACACTGAGTATGGGTCATTATAACTATTTATCATGCAAGCAGACATAACTAATTCAACATATTCCGTGGAACAATTTTCTGAACTGCCAACTGTACTGTAACATGCTTCTTTCCATTTAGACCTCAAATTTCCTATAGATTTAGTCATATTTGCAATTTTTGCGTTGACCTTGAAATTTCTAAATTCAAAATCCCACCAAGGCTAGTTGACTGGCCAATGCAATTTGTGTGGTCTTGCCTGTTTACTGCTTTCTGATTGTGACCATGCTATCTTCTGTTTTTAGTATTTCATAATTTGAATTTGCTATTACATATACTTGATATTTCCAGAAGAGGACAGCCTGCAGTTGAGTTTGTCTTTGCTGCGACCGAGGAGGCAATCTTCATACATGTCATAGTGTCCTCAAAGTATGATGGTGCTAGGTTTTTTAGTTAATCAATAGTTATCTTGCATTGGAACATTTACCTATCATCTTTACCCCTTTTTATCAGGCATATCCGGATGCTTTCCACGGGTGATTTGGAAAAAGTATTAAGACATTCTACAGAGTCAGCCTATGGACTTCCAGGTTGTTCAAATTTATTTCTCAGTTTCTCAGATTTACTATTCATAGATGTGCTATCTATCCCATCTTTGCTGGTGCTAAAATATTTTGGTTATGCTGGCTTTTGTTTGGTGTGTAATGATGGAGAGCAATGCTAGGATTTCCAAGGATTGGTTGATGAGGATTGCTGTCCTTTGGGATAACATTTTGTATTTGCAAACTTTTGCTAATGTGTACAAGGCCATTTTTGGTCTATTATATAAGTTAGGAGGGTTTGAGGAGTTTTGTTGTACTGAAAACTGGGTTTTGCATCTTAGAGATTTTGTATGGTGCTGTATTCACATCTGCAACTTCAGAAGGAGGGATTTCTCAGCACATGGACCAATTCCTTTGTTGGACCTTGGGATCCATCCCAGGGTTTGCATAATCCAGGTAGATTGCTGACTTAGTGAATAAAAATAATTAATTTATTATTATTAAATAATTATCGATCAAATAAATTTTGTTATAATAATTAGAGACAACCGTATCTCGCAATTGTCTAGAAACCAACACATAGTTGCTCAATTGTCGACAGAGGCCAGATATTGAGTAGTCGTGACTACAACATCTAAGGTTATGTGGTTCAACAACATTTTCTCAAAGCTTCAAGGTACCCTTCACACTACTCCTACTCTCCTCTATGACAATGTTGGTGCCATCTATCTACGGTTCAACCCTGTGCTACACTCCAAAATGAACCACATATCACTAAATTATCACTTTGTTCACGAGCTAGTCCAAGCTGTGGGAAGCTTCAAGTATCGCATGTCCCAACCAAATCTATCTTTTGTAACTATCATTACATCTGAAATTGTCTTACCTATATCTTTAATCTTTAATTACTCCATGTTGTTACAATAGTTTCCTAGAATCATAGGTTAACCACTTGTATATATTTGGTCATTAGTACTAGAATAAAATTAATTGATTGAAACATATTTCATCAATTCTCTATAATAATAATAATAATTAATAATGATGATAATAATAATATAATAATAATAATGACAATAAATAATAGTTATAATAGTGATGACAATGATAATTATTATAACACTAGTAGTAAAGACAATAATGATAATAATCTCATAAATTATAATTAAATTTTAATCTTAATAGTAATTTTTTTAATTATTATCCAAAAACTATCATTAAATTATCTCAGTTTTTGGAACTGCTAGACAATATATCACTATAAAACGTAATGTTGTATTCAAGTGCATAAAATGGATAATGATTTGCATATATTGGGTACGAACTTCACTCTTCACAGACAAGAATAAAGGAAGATTTCGATTGCTTTTGTTTTTCGTATCCAGCGCCAGCGACAAAAACCGGAAGATGTAAATCATAAGATTTAAATTAAGCTGAATATATACAAGGACATTTCAAATGAATAACTTTAAGAATGAAAAAAAAATGTCCTCATTAACATTACGTTTTGTAGTAACCTTAAACCAGTACTTAATAATTATTTAATATTGAACTTCTGTAGGCGAAACTGTACTCCTCATTCTCTCAAGTGAACACATGATCATTTAATAAATGTAAAAATATATTTTCCAAGAGATCCAGTGCATGCAGGTTGCGTTACTAGTTACTACAAATGGAATGAAGGCTTATAGAGTACACGGTATCCGTTGCTAGCTTGTCGCGGTAGTATACTCTTCGAGTGGAACATATATTCCCTTCCTTTAACCTTTAGTAATATACAAATATTCCTTCCTTGAAGATTTTGAGAACAAACATACCTCCATCTTTAGCAAAAGCAAAAGCTGCATGAAATCATTGCCAAAATCCCGACACTGTCCCTGCTTACATCACATGAATCATGAACGTACAAGGGTTATACCGTAAAATCCAGCGTGGATGTCACAAAAAGAGTTGGCTCATAGATTCTCTCTGCTAAAGCCGTTGAGGCAAGTGTAAACTCTAGCTCACTCTCAGAGTTATAAATAAGCGAAGCAGCGAGAGAAGAAGGCACCACCATTTGCACCAAAGCCTGCGAGAGACCCAAAGAGGCATCAACAATGGCTTTGGCAACTTCACTTTCCCCCACGACCCCTTTGGTCCAAGCCGGTTTGAACCCATTAGGTTGGTCTGATGATCAGATCCTTGAGAAAGTTTACATCACCCACGTCCACACCGCTGAAAGGTACGATGTTGAGTCGCTTTTCAACGTTGCTTCCAACATCATCAGGCGTGCCACTGCTGTTGCTGATACTGTGGCTGTTAAGGTAAACTTCGACTAATTAACGAATCTATTGCTTCCACAAATATGCATGCTTTGTATATAGTTATCTTTATCACTTATAAGTTAAAAAAACTAAGCATTTAATTACTACTTGTTTTGCAGACTGGTACACCCGTTGGTGTTATTGAGGACAAGGTTCCTTTGTCCACTTTCGACCCACCGTTCCTTAAACTTAAGCATATTGCTTCTCAGGTTATAACTCTGCATCATAATATTGATTACTATTGGATTTGTTTTATATGATTTTTGAGGTAATACAAAAACTTTAATTTAGCCCTTAACTTTATAAAATGTTATAAAATATCATTCACATTACTTTTCAAGCATTAATCATGAAAAAAAACTAAAGTGAATAACATTTTGTATTATTTTAATAATATAAAATATTACGACACTGTATTAATGATAATCGAATTTAAGCTCTTGTACATCTAAAGTGAAGGCTTCTGTCGTGTAAGAGATAAACATATTTTATTTATGGATATTTTAATACTACGAGAGACATCCTATTCACAAAATTAAAGACACAAAATACAATGTAACATACATTTATATATATCCCATTTGTGAATAGTGTTGTTAATAATGAATTTTGAGTTGTAGATGATGAACACACCTCACGGTGAGCATCACGCACACCAGACAGCGATGTCGATACTTGAACAGCTGAAAAGCTACTCGTGGGATGGGAAAGCAATAATAGTCCTGGCTGCTTTGGCTTTGGAGTATGGGAATTTCTTCCACCTCGTCCAGGTTCCAACCGGAGACCACCTTGGAAGATCACTGGCTCAAATAAATCGAGTTCACATCATCGAGAGGAACAGGCAAGCCGTTGCTGATTATAACAGTTTGGTGAAGAACTTGTTGATCGCGGTCGAGTGCATCACTGAGTTGGAGAAGCTTTCCACCAAAGGTTATGACTTAAAGGATGTGCCTGCGTTGGCTGAAGCCATGCAAGAGATCCCTGTTGCTGTCTACTGGGCAATCGTCACCACGGTTGTCTGTGTTAATCATTTTGATTTCCTCCTCGGTGAATCGTAAGTTCATATTCCACCATTTCTATCTATATATTAAGGGAGTTATTGTTATTAAATTGAATACACTGGGAACCAACAATTCGTTGATATGAATTGTATTCATCCATCTGAATTATATTGGATTCGGTTTTTTATATAATATTTTAAATTTGAATCTTATTAATAAAAAAGATATGGTTGAAAAAATAAACATCAATCAGTAAAAAATTTTAATCGAGATTAACCATCAATCAAATCTTGAGATACTTTGCATCGTTAAAAGAAAAATTGAATATACGATTTATAATCAACTAATTCTCTCAAGAATTTTATTATTTATGCAACTTCTTTTCAGTATCAGTATCATATGTTAATTTGCAATTATTTATATTTGTTTTTCCCCTTCTCTGATGTCACAATACTAATCTATCCGTGTCGTCAGTATCTTGCAAGATTTGATAAAACAGCATTGTCTAATTATTAATTTATTTTATGTCATTTGTTTTGTAAATTTTCCTATAGGTCAACGACAGTAACATTCATTGGCCTGTTTGCTTTTGATTGGCAGCTGTCCCATTGCACTTTTTTTGTATAACAAATTATGTATATAATATTTCATACAACATTAATATACTTTTGTTCTCTTTATCGTATTAAATACCATATCTCATCTCATACTTTCTATCTTTTTTCTCTTTTTGTCTCATTTCTATAAATAACATTATCCTCGTATTACTTTCGTGCAGGGATGATAGGTATGAAATAGCGAATTTTGACGACAAGCTTGCCGCCGTCATCAGCAAATTAAAGGCGAATCTGACCAGGAGCAGAAAGAAAATAGGTTAGGAAAAATACTATGATCAACCCTTTCATAAGGAGGATAAGAAGAAGAAAAAAGTAAAAATAGAAAGTAAGAGATGAGATAAGTACGATGATTAAAAGAGATAAAAAAAATTAAAAAAATAGAGTAAAAATATGATAGAAGAAAACAGGAGTATAAGTTTATAATTAATTATGTAGCACAGCAGGTTATATGTACTTAGCATTTCTTTTGTATATTTTTATTTTTAAAGGGATAGATAAATACCCAGTAAAATAAGCAGCGATCCACCTGTTCATTAAAATGAGGTTTATTTTGAAAATTAAAATAAAGTTGCACTAGTTAATTAAAAAAATAATATATACTTGAAAATATTGTAAAAATCAATCATATGTTTAACAAATTTTCATATTATTTATCGTCTCAAGAGGTTTATTTTTAATCACCGTAAGTATATTTTATCTTCCAGCAGAGTGCAGTCTTTTCCTTTGAAATAACAAAATCCAAACACGGTATCAACAATGGATGACGATGGATATATAAATTCAATGCTGATATTTAAGGGATCTTCTCTGTTCATTTCAGGTGACCTAGAAGACTACTGGAGGCGTAAGAAGTTGCTCCAAACTCCCACAGAAATTGTAGAGGTTCTCAAGGTTCTGATCTACCACAATGAAGTTCACGACCCCTATGTTTTTGATGGCCTCACTAGACAAATGGTAAGTAAATACTTGAAGGGTATCATCGTTTTGCAAAATGAATCCTTTACACTACAAAGGTAGCTTAATTAGTACTCTGGTGTCTCATTAAATGGTGTACTATTCTTTGAAACATGCATGAGATAGAATATATGTCACCATTAATTCACCATAAATCAACTGTATACTCGTATATATGATCGAGATTTTTAAGAGTTTAATGGTGTTGTATAGTGTAAGTGTAAAACTGTTTATAAAGTAAAATTGTAAACTAATTAGAAATTACTATTCATACAACTTTTAAAAGTAATTATCGTAAAAGTTAATAAAATAATTTATTATAAGTGAAAATTTATGATTGGATAAAAATATAAGTGTATAATAAACTTTTTTAATAAAATTTATATAAAAATTGGTTAGAATAAAGTAATCTAGAATCATGTAATAATTAATCTTGAAGCACCATAGAATTCTCACTTCACATTATTTTTATTTTGAACCCAAACAAACAGGTTACCCTCGAAGTGTTTAGGAAGAAACACGTGTTACTGTTCATTTCGGGCCTGGACAGCATTAGAGACGAGGTTCGGCTTCTGCAATCTATCTATGATGGATTGCATGAAGACCCTAAGGAGGTGAAAGGATACAGGAAGGAGGACTTCAAGATTCTGTGGGTCCCAATTGTGGATGAATGGAATCTTCTACACAAGGCAGAGTATGATAATCTGAAGCTTGAAATGCCATGGTACGTGGTGGAATACTTCTATCCCTTAGCAGGAATCAGACTCATAAGAGAGGACTTGAACTACAAGAACAAGCCCATCATCCCTGTGCTGAACCCTCAAGGAAGAGTGGTTAACTACAATGCTATGCACATGATTTTCGTGTGGGGCATCGATGCCTTCCCTTTCAGACCCTCTGATGATGACGTCCTTACCCAGAAATGGAATTGGTTCTGGGCCGAAATGAAGAAAGTCCATCCAAAGCTACAAGACATCGTAAGTGCAACTTTACATTTAATAATTAAAAGACCAAAACTTAAGAACAGGATGTAGGTGTTATCCGATTAAAATTAAATTTTTAATTTACATACATAAATATATGTTATTGTGTTGCATTAAGTGTAAGTATATATTATGAGGTGCAATTCTAATTTTAATTGAAAAACATGTGTAACTGTATAATTGAAATTTCATAAATTAACATGTATATCATCCTATAGCATCTATTATATGTTATTTCTTTTAACCTTTCTTAATTTAAGTAGTTTTTCTATCTAACGGTATTTCTCTAAAGATTCATCATATTACTTCATATTTTTGCAGCAAATCACTATTTTCGAACAGCTAGCATAGAAAGATACATAGGATGTATCCGTTCCTTAGTCAAAATGCCAACTCAAATCACTTCATCCGTTAAGCCTTGAATGCAATCGATGTGTACAAAAAAGACATAACAATAGATAAACAATTGAACCTTGTTAGCATTATTATCAGACACTAAAGTTTCGTAGAATTAAACAAGCATTTCTTACATTTTTTAATGTTTAGAGTAACATCTTTTGCATGGGGTCTCCGTGTAATGTTTATAGTAACTTTCCTTACGAAATCTGAAGAAGTGTATGTGTAATTTACTCTGTATCGTTGAACTGAGGCAATGAAAATGAAATTGTGTGAATATATATATATATGCTTCAGATCAAAGCAGACAATTTCATCTTCATCTATGGAGGCAGTGACAAGCAGTGGATGCAAGAGTTCAGTCTGGCAGTGGAAAAGATGAAAAGGCACGAGATCATCAAGAGGGCAGACGCAGTAATAGAGCACTATCCCTTTGGAAGAGACGAACCAAGGATCGTTCCTCGCTTCTGGATTGGCATAGAGAGCTTGTTCGCCAACATGATTCAGAAGACACACAAAGACCCTACAATTGATGAAATCAAGAGCTTGCTTTGCCTCAAACAACAACAACCAGGGTGGGTTCTTCTCAGCAAGGGCTCAAACGTGAAGCTTCTGGAGCGTGGGGAACCAATGCTTGCCACTGCAGCTGATTTTGAGATATGGAAAGACAAGGTGCTGGAGAAAGCAGGGTTTGACGTGGCTTTCAAGGAATACTTTGAGCACAAGCGTTCCGACTACCCTCAGGAATGTTCACACATGCAGTTGGCTAACTATCCTGCGGATATTCTTCACCCCATTAATTGCCCGGATGCTACTTGTGGCAGATCCATGGAAATTGCTTCTGTTAGCTACAAGTGCTGCCACGGTATCACTCACAATAAGGCTGAAATTCCCGAGAGCGGTGATGTCATGATTGAGAAGAAGTACGCTCCTTCTTGAATGTTGAGTTAGTTTGGCGGAGGGAGAGACGAACTTACAACTTTGGTATTCATTTTGTGTGCACTGCTTTGTCATATTATCATTTTTTACGTGTCGAATGCTGTGGTGAAGCCTCTTCTGTGCCCTTGTGTGGGTTGAAAATAACGGCTTCCAACACCGTCTGTTTGTTTTAATTTACTGAATTGATTTTGATTCAATTATAAAGAAAAGAGTCGGGCTTGCACAAAATCGAACAATTCTGCGTTGTTATGCTCCTTTTTCTTTTTTGGATATGCTGAGCTACTTGTTATCTATGGGACTTTGGTTATCCTGTCCACCAGAATTCCTTTTTTGTTTTCTAGATAAGCCAAAATATTTCGTTAAGAGCACAGTATTAGAAGTACTTAACCATGCGCAGTCCGGTCATATTATCGAACCTGAAACAAATCTTAAAGTAAAATTCTTAAAATTAATAATATCTTTTAATAAAAAAAAATAATATTTTAGATATAGATCTTGAAAAAAATAACTATATTTACATATCTTTTTAGAGATAGATTTTAAATTTATTTTTAAGAATACAAAAAGTGACTTTTATAAAACTTAAAAAAAAAAAAAATATATATATATATATATATATATATATATAAATATTTTTTTAAAAGAGTCTAAAGTAAAGGTTTTGTTAGTCTCGTTCTTGAGCTTGTCCTGTACACACCATAACAATGAACAAAAGACTAGCTAGTTTCTTAGATAAATTTTAGAGAGAAAATGTTAAATTGGAAATGAAGTTTTCATTTCATTCAATCCATTGTAGAGAGGGGCCATTTATAGTAGCTACTCTTATTTATACAACTTCAAAAAGATGATTACAAAAATAATAAACTATGACAACGTACACAACAAACCTACTAGAATATTCTATTGTTATAACAAAATGAAAAATAATAAAATGAAATAGTAATATTTGTCATATTACACTCTAATACCCCCCTCAAACTCAAGGTGGAGGTTGTGTTAGAAAATTCTTTACATTGGGTTTGTCTCTAAGAAGTTTAAATCTGGCTGGAGAAACGGGCTTGGTAAGCAGATATGTTCATTGATCCAAAGTTGGAATGTGATAAATCAGAAATTACTTGAATTGAACCTTCTCTCGAATAAAGAAGACATCAATTTCATATGTTTAGTTTGACTATGAAGGACGGGATTGTGAGCAATAGCTAGTACATTTTGGTTATCACATAACAAGACAGGTTTAGAAAAAGGAACCTGGAATTCATGTAACAAAGCTTAAACCCAGGCTAACTTGGTTGAGCTCTGAGCTATACTGTGATGTTCAACCTCGATCCAGGATTTGGATGTAACTTTTTGTTTTCTTGACCACCAAGGAATCAAGTTAGGTCCTAAGAAGATAGTAGAATCAAAGGTAGATCTTTTGTCATCAATATCAAAAACCTAATCAACATTACACATAGTTGTGATTGATACCGGTATGCCAACAACAGTTGGTTGCATGAGAAAACCATGAGAGAGAGTGCCCTTAAGATACCTTAGGAATCTTTTTACAGTCACCCAATGAGAATCTAAGGGGTTTGCCATGAATTGGCAAACTTTGTTAACTACAAAGCTTATTTCAAGTCTTATAAGTTTAGTATATTACAAGCCACCAATTACAGATCTATAAAGAGTTGAATCTTCACTAATGAAAAATCAGTCTTTTACGTCACCTCTTTGTCGTCGGACATACAAAAAACTGACGTAAAAAAGATGCGATGACATTTTTGTAATTTTTGTGAACTCTTTTATGTCGGACTTAAAAGGGTCCGACGTAAAAAAGGTTTCTATATATGCACACATTGCAGGCAAAGGTGCTTAATTGACCAGCATGAAAAAGAAATAGAGTGGATTTTACTGCTTCTTTCTTCCTGTTGATGAAGGCTTCTTTATGCCAAAGTTAAAAAGGTCATGACTTTCTTCTGCACCCTCTCGTTTCTTCTCTTTTCTCTCTTCCTGCGCACACTATTTGTAAACAAGAGAGTAAAGATCCCTGATTTTCTTCTACACCTTCTCGTTTCTTCTGCACGTTTTTTCTGCACCCTCTCATTTCTTCTGCACCCTCTCGTTTCAAAAATCCTGACTTGCATTAGCTAATTTGTTGATTTTGCATCTAGAACGGGTCGTTCTGCAACCAGAATGACTCGTTCTGCTTGCAGTCATTGTGTGTTAATTGTCCATCTGGAACGGATCATTCTACAACCAGAACGGGCTGTTCCAGATGGATAAGTAACACACAATGGCTGCAAGTAGAACGGGTCGTTTTGCTTGCAGAACGACCCGTTCCAAATGCATTAAATTTATGCCATCACAATTTTACGTCGATTCTTGGCTTGTTCGACATAAATTTACATTGGCCATTACAACCGACATGAATTTACGTCTCCCGCATCGATATCAGAGGTTTTTCCGACGTAAAACCCCTAAAATAACAAACGTAGAATGTACATTCTGTACTAGTGCTTGAAATAAATCACCACCAAATTTAGAAAATTTGCAACTAGAAAGCATAGGAGAAGAAATAGGATGAGCTTCAGCCATATAGGTTCTATGTAGAAGATATCTAATGTACTTACTCTGAGTTACAAGTAGAGTTTTGTCAAGTAGGTGCTTGGTCTCAATACCAAGGAAATAGTCCAATTGACCTAGTTATTTCAGAGAAAATGTTGATTTAAGTTGTTTAGTAATATGCTGAATGAGTTGAGATGAGCTGCTAGTGATGATAATATCATCCACATAGACCAGAATAAAAATAGTGTGAGCTTGATGCCTGTACATGAACAAAAAAGAATCACATTTACTAGCTTGAAATCCAAATTGAATGCGAGTGAACTTATGTCTGCCAAACCACTACCTAGGATCTTGTTTCAATCTATAAAGAGTCTTGTTAAGCTTACAAACAAGAGATTTGTCTTCAACATCAAATCCTAGGGGTTGGGGTTGCATCATGTAAATTGTTTCTTCCAGGAAGCCATTAAGAAAAATATTATTCACATCCAATTGAAATAATTCCAATTATTAGTAAAGGCAAAAGTAATGATGATTTTAGTAGTGATAGGTATAATAACAACATAAAATGTCTCATAAAAATCAAAACCATGAACTTGGTGAGATCCTTTAGTCACCAACTGAGATTTATATTTATTTATAGATTCATCTGCATTTTTTTTGACCGAAACACCCATTTACATCCTATTGCCTTTTTGTCATAGGGAAACTAAATCCCATGTATGACTTTGCATTAAAGTAGTATATTCTTGTTGCATAATAGAAAGCCAATTTGGATCAGTTAGAGCTTCTTTAACACCTTTTGATTCACTACGAGCCATAAATAAAGAGGGGTGCAACCTAGAGTTATGAACCCCAATCTTGGACTAGGTTTGCATGGGATGGTTATTAACATTTTTGAGAATAGTATCAGTGTGAGAAAAAGACTCAGGTGAGGATGAGCTCAAACTTGTCTATGATACACTAGGTAACAAGTGGCACAAATGAAAAATTGTCTTGAACACCATGGTCACTAGTTTTAAAAGAAAAAATAGGCTATTATGAGGGTGCAGTAGGATTATGACATAAGGGAGACAAATCTAGATTGAGAGTGAAGTATTGATAAGAAGAGGTATCTTTAGTAGAATTTTGTAGGAAAAGGTAAGAGTAGTATGCAAACTTTTGTTCATTAAAAACCACATCCTTAGAAATATAAATTCTACCTGAAGTAGAAAGACATTTATAGCCCTTGAAAAAAGTTCAATATCATATAAAAACATACTCTTGGGATCCAAAATCAAGTTTGTGAGTAATATAGGGTCTTAAGAAAAGGAAACAAGCACAACCAAAGATCCTTAAAAAATTTGTAATATGGTGTTTTATTCAACATAATAATAAAGGGAATGTCAAAATTCAATGATGCAGTTGGTAATCTATTAATCAGATAAATTATAGTGAAAAAAGCAAAATCCCAAAAAGTTATAGGCAAAAAGGCATAACAAAGGAGAGTAAGACCAATTTCAACAATATGACTATGTTCCTTTCCACCACACCATTTTGATGATGTGTGTGAGGGAAAATCAATCTATAAGTTACCATGAGTGGCAAGAAAGGTAGTAAAGGGTTTGTATTCCCCTCCCTAATTAGATTGAATGCTTTTAATTTTAGTATTTAATTGAAATTCAACCATAGCCTTAAATTGTTGAAAAACAAAGAGAGTTTCAGATTTTGACTTCAAATGTTAGATCCATGTGAATTTGGAAAACACGTCAATAAATGAAATGTAGTAGACATAACTAGAATGTGAGATAACATGAACGGGTCCCCACAAATCAATGAAAATTAATTCTAAGGGGGTAGAGTAAATAAATTCAAAAGCAGAAGAAGGGGGTTTATGAGACTTTCCAACACAATAGGAAGAATGAAACTCATAAATATTTTTATTTGATGGAACAAAATTACAATGATTAAGATTAAGTTTGAAGAACATGAGAATTAGGATGACCAAGTCTAGTATGCACTATAGTGTGAGAACTAGGGTCAGTGACACATAAAAAAATTTATTTACAATAGTAGAAATTTATCATTGGGTGCAAGGTCAAGGTTGGGTGAGATTTAGGTTTAGGATTTTCATAAATTGGTTATTAATATTGGAGTTGGAAAAATGAAAATAATATCTTACCATGTTTTAGTGGGGAATGTCATTTTAAAATGACAAATCAAGTGTTTGATGAAATGTGTCTCTTATTATGTTTGTTTTCAAGTAAGCTTTGTATATTTAAATAAGACCTCCTACCAGGTTTTATTAAGTGGGTTCAAATCTTTTGCTATTCAAAGTTAGAGTAAGTATTACTTAAGTGTTTCATGACTTTCACAAATGGGATCATTGTTATCACAATCAAATCAATCATCGACTTGCTGGTCAAGGTATTGGGTTGATGGGTTACTTGTCAAATCGATGGTGTTACTAGTTGAATTGCATGAACTAGTGTATACAATATATAATATGTTTTAGCTATTGTCTCTGTATATTATTCATATCATTTATTAATCAAGTGGTTAAATTGGTTTGGTGGTGACTTGAATTGTCCAAAATCTTTAGTGATGTGGGTTTGAGTCTTGATTTATGATTCTTTTTACATTTATTTTATATTTAAATTTTGTTTAACAAACACAACATACAAGAAAAGCACGTAGTACGAGATTTGAGAGGTGCTTACAGAGAGACTTGAGAAAAATTGAATTGAGAAGCTAGTTCTTAAGAAAATTTGAATGGAAAAGTAGTAGTAGGTTTAATTCCTAGTTAGATTGGTTTGATCGGCCAATCTTAGACGAGTTTAATTACATTGAATGAGATTGTTAGTCTTGTGACAAATTTAGGGGTTCTAATGGTTTTGCAATAATAACATTTTTTGTCTAAGATTTTCTAATATTATTTTAACATGTGTTTTATGTCTTGTGTTCTATACAACATTATCTATGGAATGCAAAAAAGTCTTGAAAAATATATGAAATAGTTGAAAGGTAAAAAAAAATAACACTTTTACTATTAACTACTTCATTAGTGAAAAAATGATTCTAGTACATCGATTGTTTTGAACTTATAAAACTAGTTGTATAACAACATTGTTTCTGTCAATATAGTATTTGAGCACATATAACATCAGGTGACGACCAATATTACATACCGTATCGATTGTTCATATATACTTAATGTTGTATGGTGCATATACAACATTGGTTATAGTCATAACCAATGTTATTTATTACACATACAACATTGGTTATGATCATAAAATGTTATATGTGCAATTTTTTAAAAAAAAAATGTAGCATGTTTGTTTTGGGTGATCCGAAACTTGAAAATTCAATTTTAATTGTACAATTCGCACACTACAAAAAAAGTTAATTTAGTGGCCAATTTTATTTTCGTCGCTAATAGCGACATAATTAGTTGCAATTTTTATTTAGTGACCGAATGTTTTCAGTAGCAATTTTCGGTCGCTATTCAGTTTGTAAATTACATATCCTTTAATGACCAAATTATATGTAAATTTGCGACCGAATATTTTTAGTAGCAATTTTTGGTCACTAATTCCATCGCTATTCAGTTTATAAATTACATATCCTTTAACGACCAAATATTTTTAGTAGTAATTTTTGATCGCTATTCAGTTTATAAATTATATATCCTTTAGCGACTGAATTGTATGTAAATTTGCAACTGAATTGGTTTCGGTGGCTAAATTAGCGACGAAAAAATTTTGGTCGCTAAAAACAATACAAAAATATTATTTATAATAATGGTAGCGACCAAATAAAAATCGGTTGCTAAATGTAAATTTTTAAAAAAATTTAAGATAGTATTTTTTTAAAAAGAAAGCAAATATCAAAATATATAATATTATTTTTATAATGATAAAAAAATTAATGATAAGAAATAAAAATCATGACCCTTCCAATAAAATTATTTTACTTTTTAAAATAATACATATTATATAATTTAAAATAGATAATATATCATAATGTATTAAAAAATGAGAAACATAATGTTATAAAAGAAATTTAAATAATATTTTATTTGAATAATAATTTATCTATCAAATTTATTCATTTTTCTCTTGAGAAATTTATTTCTCTTTTATCATACTTAATATTTTATTTTATTATATAATAATAAAATACACAATTTATTGTGCCTTTCAATTTTGTTAAGGTAAAAAACTTCTTTTTAATTTGTAAATCATATTTTATTTTAATTATTTTTTTAAAAATTAGACTTAAACATCTAGTTCAGTTGATATAAACGTGTTAGTTACATCAACTTAAAAATAATTTGTTTATATAAGGATTAATAAGAACTTATCAAACAAATCTAAAATCGATCAAAAAATTAGATATTTTTTAAAAATAATTATTGTGTTAACATAACAATAACCATTATAAAATTTTAAAATGTATTTTTCATTTAATTATTCATAAAAAAATACTTTTAAATTAAGAATTCACCAAAAAAGATACTTTTAATTAAAATGTTTTTTTTTAATTTTATTAATTCATTGTCATCCTCTCAATTGATTAAAAAGTAATAAAATATAATTAATGTTCAGTTAGTTTAATAAATAAAAATTAGAAAAATAAATTATATATATACAAATATACACACCAATAACACGTGAGTTATATTACTGATGAAATATTTCTAACAAATTTATATTTGTCAAAAATGTAAGAATTTCATCGATTTAATTATTAAATTAAAAGTTATTAAATTTTACTAATAATTAATATAGAAAATATTGATTAGCGTTGGAATAAATTATTTGCAAACAATATAGTTGAAAATTAATTATTTTAAATTATTTAACTAGAATTTTATTAATAATTTACTATATGATTTTGATATTTTTGTATAACTAATATCTGGTTTTAAACTTGATATGAAAATATTATGATATAACTTGATAAGATTTTAAATTAGTATTTTATTAATGGTTGATAATTAGAAAATAAAACAAGGATAAATATATTTTTTGAATTTAATATCTTAGATTTAAGATGAATAAATGTATTAAGTTAATTAATAATTTATTTAAAATGTTAAAATTTAATTTATAAAAATAATATTTTAAAAGAGAAGGGTTATAATAACACCGGTGTAACTTTTACTAAGTATTACATCGCTCAACAACTTTATATTAAATGTGAATTTTATAAATTCAACCGTTAGATTGAAAAGTTTTTACTCTTAGATCATACATACAAAATTTTATATGAATTCAAGATGATTTGATACTTCATTCTGGTAAAACAAAACTGATGTAATATATACATTTCAAAATATATTAAAATATGAGCACTTTGATTACCTTCAAGTTGTTCAATTTTAACAAAACTTGATATAAACATATAAAGTGATATGAACTTTCAATCTAACGGTTGGATTTACAAAATTCACATTTAATATATAGTTATTGAGCGGTGTAATACTTAGTAAAAGTTATACTAATGTTATTATAACCCTTCTCACTTTAAAATATATAAATTATTATTTAAACTTTTAAATTTATAATAAATAATTTAAATTGTATCATAATATAAATTTTAAATAAAAATAAGTAGATTGTTAATTATAAAAATAAGTATATATATAGATAAATATTAATTAAATATAATATAATATAATAATAATTATTATTAGTAATATAATTATTATATATATTATTATATATTTATAACGGTCCGGACACACCGAAATGAGAAGGATTCAAAGATAATATAAGTACGAGATTGTATAGTTGAGGATGACTTAAATGAATTAATTTGTACTACGTATACTAACAAAATGCATTTGCTTTTCTGTGACTTATCTCATCAGAACTCTACAGTTAAGCGTGCTTGACTTGGAGTAATATAGGGATGGCTGACCTTCTAGAAAATTTCTCAGAAATTGTGTAATTAAGGACAAAACATGCTGAAAAGTGAAGTATTGTGAAATAGAATTCTTGAAAGGCCAAATATGAATGGTTCGTAGCGATCAAATTTGCAATGTCTATAAAATTTAATAAAATAAAAAATAAATATTTAACGACCGATTTAGCGACTGATTTATTTGGTCACTAATTTGTTCTCCATACATATCAGCGACCAAAATCATTTCAATCATTTTGCGACCGAAAAATTTTCTATCGCTATACAACTTTACGACCAAGGTTTTAGCAACTACTTAAATTCTGTCATTAAGGTTAATAGTGACTGATTTTAGTAATTTAGCGACCGACTTTGGTGGTCACTAAATGTCATATTTTTTGTAGTGAAAATTAGATATCAAGCACTCAATGAGTCTTCAATATGTTAAATTACTACATATATTACTAGGGGCTAGAGTTTGTGCATTTCGTCTAGAGAAGGTAACTATTTTGATGTTTTTTCTTGCAAAACTTAGTCCAAATTTTGACATATGGTTTATGGAACCTTCTCTGGATATGCATGAGTTGCTCTCGTAGTAGACTTAATGATGTTGCCTTTTCCAAGACTGTAGTTTTCTTCCTTTTATTTCTTTGCTCGTTACCATTTTTTTTGGGGTCAATTTGATCAAGATTAAATTGAATCAATTTGTACGAGACTATTTATACTTGCTCAATTCCACAATGTTCATTAACAAGTTCATAATTTATATAGCATTTGATTAACTATTCAATGAATAAAATTTCTAATTACTTGTTTGCAAATTAAAGTCATAGTCGAAATTGTAAATTAAGATTTTTAATTCATACACATGCCATCCAAATAAAAGCTAAATTCTCCCAAACTTAAAAGAACCTAAAGTGAATTTTGATTCTGAGTCCAATACCGTCATTTATACGAAGATTTTGAGTCAAGCATAAACCAAAATTACATAAAAATCCTCAAAGTTAATTTCACTATCAATACCTACGAAATCTTCTTACCTTGAGCCTTTGGACAAGTGATGGAAAGCAAAAGGTTTCAGGAAATTACAACAAAGGAAACAAATAATTAATTATTGTCATCTAAGGTTTGTTTGGTAACATTCTCCGGTGTAATCTTCTTGCCTTGAACCCTTAGACAAATGACGTACCATCTTTTTAAAAAGCAAAAGTTTCAGGAAAATTCCAGCACTAGAAGAAAACACAGTAGTTTGTTGATAACACAAGAAAAAGCCAATTATATCCTTTACTATATGAAAGTAATGTACGAATCCATAAGGGTAAAGCTGAACTTTGAATAAAAGTGCGACGTTTCACGTTTGTTACACAGCCAAAAAAGCAAATGCGTATGTTATATGTTTTTTAATTTTACTCTAAATCTCTCTCTTCTCAGCTAAAGTTATTAATTATTCCAAGTGTAACACATCGAAGAATCTTAATCTATAAATAGGTGGAGCGAGCAACAAACGATAGCACAAGCCCCAAGACATCATTTGCATTCAAACCTACGAATTAGGTTGAACTATCGGCATGTCTACAACCAAAACTCAACAAAAGCCTCGGCTGCCTAACCCCTTTAATGATTTGAGCGACTCTGAGATCATTGAAAAGGTTTATCTGTCACACACATACGATGATGAAGTGTGCAATAAGGAGACCCTTTTCAAGGTGGTGTCCAACGTTATCACGCTATCAACTCGAGTTGTTGGGACTATGCTTAAGGTAACAAAATGCAAATTTTAAACTTTTACAGAGACCTTATTTAGATAGTATATGATTCTTGTATGCTGTTTCAAATTTGTTTTTTTTATTGGAATTATTAAAATATTTCCTTTTAATTTATTCTAATGAATTTAATGTTTAAATACAATTTTCGTGTATATATATATATATATATATATATA